ACTTCTAATTCTGATATTGATGTTTGTTTGTGTGTGTATATATATATATATATATATATATATATATAATGAAAATAAAAAAAGTGTTGTAATGTTTTATTTTTAATGTGTTTTTTTAGCATTTTAATTTAGATTTATGTTAATTTAATTACATTTACATGCTTTCAAGACTTATTGGAGCCCACTGGAAGTTGGCTGAGGCCCCCTAGTGGGCCCCGGCTCCCTGTTTAAGAACCACTGTGCTTGGCCATAGCTGGAGGTAGTTCTACCATAATTTTCCCAAACTTATTTCATATTTAGTCTGTAGGAGTTTTGAAGGGTGCTCCTATAGCGCCGCGTTTTCGAGGCTTGGCCGTTCGCTGATCTTGCAGAACAGAAACTGTAACGACATCGAACTCGCAATATATCCTACTGCCTGACGCTTTTCAGTAAGGCTATAAGTCTTGTTTGTTGTTTGTCAACACTGCAGCTCGGCTCCCTGCAGCGCTCCTCTGGAGCAAGACGTAGCACTCTGGCACTTTATTGTTATTTACTGACAACAGTCCTCCACTAGAGATCAAGACTAGCTGTGTGGTGGCTTCTACTTCCTGGAGAGGCAGGAGGTCTATCTTATAAGCTTTACTGTCCTGTCTCATCTGGATAAACTTCTCATCCGACGTGACGTCGAGAGTGACCGACTGAAAGGGAACTTATAAACTCAGAATTGCGAGTTTATATCTCACAGTTGTTGACTTTTTTTCTCAGAGTTGCGAGATGTTAATCCGTAATTCCAAGTTTATAACATGCAATTGTGAGATATTAAATTGCAATTGTGAGAAAAAAAAGTCAGAATTGTGAAATAAAATTCGCAATTACCTTTTATAAATATATATTTTTTTATTTCAGGACGGAAACAGAAAAAAAGAATTGTGAGATATTTGCTAGATGTAAAAAAAAAAAAAAAGTTTTATTGTTATTTACTGACAACAGTCCTCCACTAGAGATCAAGACTAGCTGTGTGGTGGCTTCTACTTCCTAGAGAGGCAGGAGGTCTATCTTATAAGCTTTACTGTCCTGTCTCATCTGGATAAACTTCTTGGGGTGAGAATGGTATCAGTACAATGTATGGGAAACTACACTTGACCTACTTTGTTGACTATTCACAAAAACATCGGCTGGAAAACTAAAAGGGAGGACAGGATGATAATGAACAATATTGATTCATTTGTCACCTTTGAGATTTGGGAAGACGTGAGAACAGTTTGCTATCATAATCTACTCCATTTTACAAGTGCTGTCACATCATAGACATGTAGGACATGAAATTGAAGAAGAGAGTTATTGCTTTAAATGTAGCGCGGATCCTTTTAACTGCTTGTAAGATGGCAAATGAGACTGGTGACAGGCACTTTTTCTTTGAAATAATAAAATGATCCCCCTTCATAAAATCACTGGGTGACTGCACCTTAAGCACAGCACTCTAAAGACTTCATTAAGCTTATTTACACTCTCGTTTGACATGTGGCATCATTAGTCTTCACTATGTCGAACACAAAAATAAATATGGGTTTAAACAACTCACCACACAGAGTTGCCTTAATGTATTCCTAAATTAAACCGTTCATTTGAACTAATTACATCTTTATTGCGTTAATAATTCACTTGCAGCTGTGTGCGTTGATATTACGGAGAATGCCTAACAATGAATTTGTCTATGCAGACCTATTAATTACAGTCTTAACTTTATAGTGACGGATAAGGGAATGAGAAACTTCACATTAAATAATGAATTTGAAAAATAAATATCTATACAATACAGTGGGGTTCAAAAGTCCAACAATTAAGTAATTGCTTTTATTTTGCATTTGTTCCTCCTCATTTTAAACCTTTTTTTTTTTCAAATGATGTTAAAAAAGTACATAATTTGATCAATTATAAATAATATGAATAATTTAGATTTTATTTTGAAAGAAAGACTTGACTTGAGTATCTTAAATACATACATACATACATACATAGTTTTTAAAGAAGTACTTTTATTCAGCAAGATTGCATTTAATCGATCAAAAGTCACAGTAAAGACATTTATAACGTTACAAAACTTTCACATTTTTTCACATTTTTGTTTCACATAAATGTTGTTCTTTTGAAGTTTCTATTCATCAAAGAATCCTGAATTTTGTTTAATACATTAAATATGCATTCTTGCTAAGCATTTATTTATTTAAAAAAAGTTTGAACTACTTCCACAAAAAGATGAAGCAGCAGCACAACTGCTTTCAACAGTTTAATAATAATACATGTTTCTTAGGCGCCAAATCAGCAAATTAGAATAATTTCTGAAGGATCATGTGACACTGAAAATTGGAGTAATGGCTGCAGAAAATTCAGCTTTGCCATTACAGGAATAAATTACATTTCATAATATATTAAAACAGGCTTTTTAAAATTGTAATAATATTTCACAGTATTACAGTTTTTATTGTAGTATTAATCAAATATATATCCAGCCTTGGTGATACTGTCTCTATATACATTCAGAACCCGAAAAGTTCCTGTTTATTTCAAGTTTAAATTGGCCCCTGAATCACAGATCTTCAATATGGGCTCAGACTTTTGGACCCCACCGTATCTAATGGAAGCATGTTATCGTTGCCACCTCAGACATAATAACTATCCTCCAATCGCTTGCTGTGGACTTCACGTGGCTGCACAGCAGATGGACAGCGCTTTAACAGAAGTGTGCACTGTCAACAGCCATTATCATTTCCATCAACAGGCGCTAGGCCATGCATGAAATAAACCTGCTTACTCCAAACAGTTCAGCTGAATGTCCTCTACAGATTTTATAAATGCATAGAAATGTATGTGACTGGAATAACTGAGGTGGCCAAAACGGTAAAGGGCTTTAACGAACGCAGTTATGCAAAATTTATCTCAGCTAATGCAGTAAACTATATAGGGAACCCTATTACTGACACATTACTATAATATTAAAGGTTAACATTAACAACAGAGTCCTAACTGTTAAATTAAATTGCTATTTATTTTTATTTATTATAATCAACACGAAGAGCTTTAAAAGAGTCCGCACATTCAAACATTAAAGCATCACAAGCGAGATAAGAACAATATATGCAATTTACTGAATAAAACAAGGCAAACGTTTCGGTCACATGTTGACCATTTTCAATGCCAAGCTAACAGTGTTAGAACTAGAAGCCATCTTAATTTAAGGAATCACATGATAATTAAAGAGATCACATGATCAATCAGGACACACACAGAGAGAGCCTGCATGGGAAGAAACCAGTGGAATGATCCAAAGTCACATATTTGTTCTCCTTAATGAAGGTATCCGAACTGACTAGTTGATCAACTGACTTATAATCAACGCAAATAAAAACAATTCTATGCAAACATGTAAATTGTACATAAGGCAGTTTTCTGCCAAGATTCTTTTTGTGAATCCAACACATACAGCTTTAAAAATCTTTTGTAAGAATTGTTTTGAATGTATTTATTATTGAAATGATATCATTTGGCAAATTGCATTTCTTTTTTTTCTAAATACTAATTCTTTACAAATACCAGGTAGCCGAATACAAAAGGTGTCAGTCGTTAAGAGCTGAATAAGCTTGCTTTAATATACTCGCCCTGCAATTCCCCCTAATACAGTAAGACACTGTGAGACGTGTTTTTCAGGAAATGTCTTGATTATACATGAGCACGCAGCACAGCTGAAAAGTGTGATCAAATCATGGCCATAATCATGTCATGTCACAGCCTCTAGGGTCCCCTGTCGAACAGCGGCCACAACATGAAGGATCGCTCATAAACAGCACACTGCGTCATCCTTGATTAACGGCCATTAAAAAAAACACAGCAAGGAGGAGGGAGGGTCGTCCACTGGAGTCTGTGATGATATTTGTTAGCATTAATCTGTGGGAGACGGCCAGGCGCTGTCAGAGGAATGGCGATGATTTGAAACCATCTTTCTTTCACCATTGCACACTGAATGGCATACAGGAGGAAAGAGAGACATGCTGATAGCAGGTAGTTATTTAACATTTGAGTGTTTCATGTTGTCAAATTAATAACTCCTGCGTCCCTGATGAACTGATGGAGGACGACAATTCACCCATGACGATCAACGAGCGCAACAAATACAGACTTGCCACTGAAATTTTCCCGGAATGATGTTTACTCTCTCACGTACAGTCACACACACATTCACCCACACAAGCTCATACAGCCTCACACCCTTAAACCTAAATGAAATGCGAGTTGACTCATCTATGACCTTTACCCACTCGGGCCAAGTTGCAGTGCAATTTAAACTTCATTGCACCAAAAATACAAATCAAAACCTGCAGTTAAGTCAGCATCTGTTAAGCTTTTTTTTTTTTTTTTCTTCTTTTTCTTCAACAGTTTAGTATCTTTTCTTTGACAAGAATTGGTCTAAGTGACAGTGTGCACTAAAGCAAGAACCCCCAAATATGAGCTTGATGCTTTGGTTTGTAGTCAGTGTTCAATTTTACAATGTAATAAGCTGAAGGAAAAGTTTGTCTCATTTGGGAAAAGCACTTCAAAGCCTTGAGTTTCTTCATGTGGGACACTGAGCAGACTGCCAAAGTACGGACAGATGGAAAACCGTATCGCCCAAAGCTTTTTGGATCCTATTGCGGGATGTTGGGGATATTGTTGTGGGCAGTGGGGATGCTGTTGTTCAATGCTCTTGATTCTGCATCTACACAAACAGAAGAGGGCTCTTGCACTCGTTCAGAGACGAGAAGGGCTCTCAAGCAGTTCTGTGGACATCATTAATGATAACACTCATCCTGAGAAGAGATCTAGATCAGTGGTGCTCAACCAGAGGGCTATAGCAAACTTTCGAAGGGTCCTCAAGAAGACTAGAAATTATTTAAAATTGCACAAAACAAGCATTAAAATAAAGGTTCCATTTGTTAACATTAGTTAACTACATTAGTTAGCATCAATTAACACTAAAAATACTTCTAAAGCATTTAGTTAAAGTTAATTTCAACATTTACTAATACAGTATTGAAATCAAAAATTTTTTATTTCAAAGATTAACAAATTAACAAAGATTAATAAATATTGTAACAAATGTACTGCTCATTGTTAGTTCATGTTAGTTGATGCATTAACTAATATTATCAAATAGGATTCTGTAGTATTACAGCCAAAACAACTAAAAAGCAAGCTATTTACAAATGTCTTTGTAAATTTCTTTTTTTTAACAGGGCTGCATTTATTTGATCAAGTATATATAGTAAAAACAGTGATATTATGACATATTATAACCATTTAAAATCTTTAAAAAAATGTTTAGAACTGTTCCTTTGAAATATAATTTTTTTGTAATGTTATAAATGTATTTACCGTCACTTTTAATCAATTTAATACATTCTTCTTAAATAAAAGTATTAATTTCAAAAAAACAAATCTTATTGACTCGCAACTGTTGACGACCCCAACAACTGTCTTTTTTTCTTTGAAGAACCAGGGTTCCCAATATCTTTTTTTTTTAATTATTTCTAGACCTGAAAAAGTCAAGTAAATCATTAAAATTAGCATTTTTATTATGAATATGCAATTTTCTGGTAATGTCAAGCTCTAAAACAAATTCCCCCCAAAAATCCTTATCCAGCAAATCATGAACAACTGGAAAGTCATAGAGCCTTGGAGTCAAAAAGGTTGAGAACCACAGATCTAAATGATCCCTCCAGGAACATGGCAGAGAGAAAGGGTGATTGCCGTAACTGTCGTCATCGCTCACTTCTCATGGAATTTTGGGTGGACGTGTTCTGGTTTATAAACATTGTCTACCTGTGTCACTCTGAGGGGGCCGTCCTTCAATACTCGACATTGAAGCAATCATTAGAAAAGCAAGGACACATGCAGGAGACTTCCCTCAAGGGATTCAAATGCAAGTTCTCATTATTTTTAAACACTGTTGTAAGACGAAGACCCAGTGAAGCATTCAAACAGGACACAGAGTTTATGCCATAAAACTCAGGCATAACCAGTTACCATTGATTACATCATGCTCCGGGCATGTTGAAAAACCGGTCAATTATTTCCATGGCCTGAAAACAGCAAAACTCAACTCTGGAGAACACATAAAATCGCTCTCTATTGCATACAGACAGCATTATCTTTAGCTTAGAGTTTGTTCTTCATCATGACCCTGAATTTATACAGGCTTACAAGACTTGTGATTGCCATTGCAAAGGACATAAAAAAGCCTGAACATGGACTTCCTGTTTCACACACACACTACAAGGACGAACCAGGACAAAACCAGGACAGAATCTTTTCCTCTGCTTTTAAGGAGATGGAGTTGAACACACTGTAATCTGCTCATCTTAACCAACAGCGAACAATAGCAGAGAACAGGATGCACCCATAAAAACATGTTTTCACAGAAGAATAGAGACAATCACAAACAAGATCATATATTAGTTTAAGAAATGTTTATGGTCAAAGTCAAGTTACTCAGTATAAGGGGTGTTTCTTTCTGAGACCCCAAAGAGAGATAGCTTGGATAAAAAAATGTAATGTAATGTAATATATGTTTATATCATATTATATTATTATAAAAAAGGAGTCAGTAGATTTTTTTATGTTTTTGAAAGAAGTCTCTTATCCTCACCAAGGCTGCATTTATTTGATCAAAGAACAGTAAAACATTATTGCCATTTAAAATAACTTATCAATGTTAAAATTTTAAAATTTAATTTATTCCTGTGATGGCAAAGCTGAATTTTCAGCAGCCTTCAGAAATCATTTTAATATGCTGCTTTGGTGCTGAAGAAACATTTCTTATCAATGTTGAAAATAATTTTTTTGGTGAAACCGTAATACCGTTTTTTTTTTCCAGGATGAATAGAAACTCAGAAGAACAGCATTTATTGAAAATAAAAAATTGCAACAGTAAAACCTGTCATTTTTGACTAATTTTATTTGTCCTTTCTAAATAAAAGTACTAATTTAGTTTTTAAAAATCCTACTGACCTCTAACTTTTCAACGGTAGTCTATATTTCTTTAAATATATAATTAAATTACATTCAAGTACACAACAGACCAACAAATAAATAAATTGCCTCATAGGTACATAGGAAGCATATTCTGAACAAAACAGCAAACAAGTCCACTATTCTAAATACATTTATAGGCTCAATAAATCATGCAGATTTCAGGCATCAAATCCTTGTGCAGCATGTACTGACTTTCTTGTCAGATGTCATGGGAAGAGTGTGAATTGGTGAGTGTGAAATTATCCTTCAAGCTAAAATCCCAAGAGTCAAGATTCCATGTAGATGGAAAAGCCCCAGTAAAAGTCACCCACTGTGATATCCACATTGGACAGATTTACTTCTACACCCTGGAAACTACAACGCAATCTTCCCATTGAAAAAAGGCCACTTAGTGACTTATCGAAGGATCTTTAACCAAACCCACCTCCTTCCCACACGACCAAAGGCTAGAACTTTGCCAAGCATTTACTGGTTTTATCAGTGAGGAACTCACTGGCTTTGAGGATGCGACATTAATAACTCAGACCTTGAGATCCTTTAGGCATGTTACAGAGATGGTATGAATCACACAAGGTGAACGCCCTCTGCTCTGAACTATTTCAAGTCAGCAGAGGAGGTATATGCCAAATAAAAGAGTATGCAGTACAAACATTCAGCACACTTGTCTCCCTTAATTAACATAAAATCACGGTGAGTCAGCAACCGATGCTGCAACTACACAGTAAGCCCACATTAAATTTTGCTACGGTAATCTACAGAGTTTGAAAGCAATACTTTAAGAGTGAAGGAAACTAATGTTCAACATAAACTGAGATGACCTAGTTACAAAGCTTGTATTGAAATTTCACTTTCTTCTTATTCATCTGCAATTAATTCAGCTCGAAAGCCATACATGCTCCATCCAAACTTTGTTTTGTAGATAATTTTAAGCCTTAAAGGAATAGTTCACACCAAAATTAATATATTGTCATTGTTTATTTACCCTCTCTTCAATTCAAACCTGCACTGCTTTCTTTATTCTGTGAAACACAGAAGAAAATATTTCCTTCTGAACTATTTTTGTTCGTTCAATGAAGGTCAGTGGGGTGCAAAACAAATTTCTTCTTTTGTGCTCCACAGAAAAAAGAAAATCATATTGGCTTGGAAGGACATGAGGGTGAGTAAATGATGACTAGTCATTGAATATTCATTTTTGGGTGAAATATAACTTTATATATCACTTTAAGGGACATTTCTGAGCAGCTGGTAGCTGCCAGGCTTATCAATTCAACCTCTGAATCCAACAAGTAAACTTCGCTGTCTGCACTCCCATTGGTAGTTGCCACATTGAGTCACCCTTTATTTACATTAAGTTGAGCTTTGCAGCTCTTGCATACTGAATTGGTCTTATACATCTTATCCTTTACACTGTCGTGTCAAGTTATGTGTTGATTCTCATGCACAGCAGATAGAAAACAAGATGCAGAATGCATTACCCTTTCTCACATCCATGCATCTTGCAAACACTAGTAGTTCCTTCTGCAAATATATCTAATTAAGATTGTGTTCTCAACAAGTATCTGTATACCATGCCCACAAGAAATGATCCTTGACTCTCAGAGCTCCTACACATGGTTTCATACCATCATATGTTCCACTCTCCAGTAGCAGACCGCTCTCCTCCAGCACACGAAACTCCCCCACGCTGATGAAATTATAGTCCACTCCTGGAACCTCCCCTTCACGAGGCTGCCTCGTGGTACCTGCCAAAGGCACACACAACGATGAGTAACAAATTATTAGAGGAAAAATGCTCTTTTTGTGTAAAGGTATTTCTTCAACTATGTACATATTTTTGCATTTTTGTTACAGGAAGGTGACACTGAAACATCTTATCATTTCAAATCCCTTTTATGTATAGATTTTACTGTTTTCCTTTGTACTGTAAATCTCCCCACACTTGCAAATTTAAAAATGAAAATATATTAAAGTATATTAAAATGGAAACAGCGGCAGATCTTTTTTTCCGTATTGCGATGCACATCCGAGCGTAACAGTTAAAAAAAATAAAAATAATTCTTGGTTCTATGAATCGGTTATTGATTAGAATTTGAGAAGTGGGCATTTGATAAAAAAAAAATAGTTTAAAAATTGAACATTTAACTCCCAACTGCATTAAATTGTTAAGATAAATATAAAGGATTTTGAAAACAGACATTTTCTTTACATTTATTTTGAGTGTTGATCTCTGACCTCATTTTCTCTGTTGTAAGAGGAACTGCAAACAAAAACTCTCTGCAAACAGACTCTCATTGAACAAAAGACAACATGGCTCACTTTTGAGAGCCTTTATTGTTGTCCTCTCTACAAGAGAGAACACAGTGAATCATCTGCATCCAGATATTCTGCTGTAGTGTCTTTTTTCGATCCCAACTATACAGTTCACACTTTGCTTGCTGCATCACTAAAATTTGTCAAACTTGACAGTCACACAGCAGCTACTGTGGGGCGAGAGCCCAGATGCCAGTTTCTGTGCTGGAGGAGGATAAACAAACAATTAGCTCTGCAGTTTGCACAAGCTACACCAAACACTGCCAGCTGCTTAAGCACCTTACCATCCACCCCAGCATGATGCCGCACAACCCTGCACTCCTCAGAACATCACAAAGAAAAGACTGACCCAACTTGGCCCTCTCCTAAAACAATTCTTGCACTTCAAAGACTGCTTTGAAGAACCAAATCTCTCTTAAAATGGAAGTTAGTGAATTCATGAATTCTGAATGCAAATGCATTTTTATTTTATATAGAAGACTAATATTGGCAATGCAGGATGAAGTGTTTATTTTGTGACGTCAAAGGGAGGATGAATTCTATTCAAACTTCATTATGTACTTATCAGCTGTGAGATCCCTTAACAAGCTCTGGAAAAGTTTCAAGTCTTAAATCTGCACAAGTGTAAAAAAAAAAGCAATCCTATAAGATTGACCACCTAGGGCACATTTTTATTTCTGCATTCATTTTTTTTTTTTTATATCTGCGGATGAGGCAGAGAGTGGTTACCGTTGAGCTATAACGGATATTAATGCCAGCAGGAGGGAAGGAGATGGAGGCTTCAGTCGAGCTTCAAAGATTACGTGGAGTTCAATTTGGACTCCAGGCGTTCTTCTTTCCCCTTTTTTTCCAAAGGACATGGCTTTAATGACTTTTCTGTCCCCGTGTCCAGAGACATGTGCAATAGTTCCATTCAAGAAGTTGTCAGATGAGCATAGGGTATGACAGACAGTGCAGTCCAGTGCTTCATGAAGTGAATCAATTTCAGACCACATTTCATAGTGACGGTATTTGTTAAGCTCTAAAAAATAACCCTGAAAAAGCTTAAAGTTGGTCTTCTGAAGCCTAGATAGATTAATCACTGATAATTTTCCTCAGTGAACTCTAATCAATAAAGTATCAACTTGAGAAATCAGTGAGAGTGAGTCAGTGAGAGAACTGGACCGGTGAACGAATCTTTCTTTTGAGCTGGTTCATTTTAATGAATCACTTGATCCATTCATAAACCTGAAATCATTCAGACTGATTCGGTTCTCAACTCATTTATTAAATCATTTGGATTCTTCAAAATACAAAATATTGATATGCAGAATAAAAAGTGAAAGGGGTTTGAAGTTGCATAAATGTCAGTAAATAATGTCAGAATTTTCATCTTTAGGTGAAATAATCCATCAACAGAAAATGTCTAGTTAGTACTAGGCATAGGAATGATGTGTAATGTGCCACTGCCTTAAAGTAATAGTTCATTCACACCTGTAAGACTTAGAAAATACAGACTTTCTTCTGCACTTAGAAAATACAGGTCCCCCTGGAACCTTTTTTAAGGGTAGGTGGAACACAAGAGAATATATTTAGAAGAACGTTAAAAAAACCTAACAACATTGGAGCCCATTGACTTCCATTGTATGAACCAAGAAAAAAAAAAAAAGCACCAAGATATTTCAAATCATCTTCTTTTGTGTTCCACAGAAGAAATAAAGCCATACAGGTCTGGAACAACATACGGTGAGTAAATGATTTTCAAATAATTTTCATTTCTGGGTGAACTCTCTCTTTAAATCGGAGCAATGTATTATTAAACATTAACTTCAATTAAATGGCAATACTGCTCCTCACTGTCCTTCACCTTTACTGTGATTAATAACTTACAATTAAATCATTATTTGATAATTTTACTTGACTGAAGCGTGGAAGATGAACTATGACAGTTCATTCTGACATAACTGCTACTACCGGCGCTATTAAATATAATTAGACCTGTCCATCATCTGGCTCTCAGCCTGATGCTTAGGATTATACTGGATGGAGAAGTGTGAATGGAGGACTGTGTGTTGTTGAGTCATGGGCCTGAACAGACCGTAACAAGGACAGTGGATGAGAATGACATTAGAGATTCCAGGTGGGCCCACACACTGAGCCTGTGTCTCATGCAATGTTGAGCCACAGCAAACGAAACATCTGCTAAGGCCTGGTGTCCATTAAAATCCCAAATTACAAAGAACCACATGCCAGGTGCAGGACTCACTTAATGAAAACAGCACAAACTACATCACACTCTAAATTAACAGACAGACACTAGATTTGTACATTTACTGAAAAAAAGAAAACATAGTGCTTGATGGTGCATAGGTTGCTGACACAACACTGTTTGGCTGGTGCACTGCAGTTGCTAGGTGATTAAAGTCATAAAATCTCATTCCCAAGTGTATGATATTCTGGCCTTTATGACTCTGGAATTTATTCTGTTGTGTGGTGCACATGACAAGATATTCTGAAGAAAGTCAAAGGGGTCCAAAACAGCATTAGGTTTCGAGTTACATAAAGGTGAGTATATAATTACAGAAATGTTCCTATAATTACAGAAATATTCCTTTAATAGTTAGCATTAAGTGTTTTTTGAAATCTCTAACCCTAAGTATAAGCCATATTAATGGTAATAAGTGCCTTAACAAACAGCACTAATTAAAAGATTACACCATAGCCCGAGAGAAAAAAAGCACTAATTAAAGATGTGCAAGTAATTAAGGCATATGTTTCACTAATTCACTGGTTTGTGACCAGACCACACACTGTATTCTGCACAACAAAAGAGCAAAACACATTTCGTGATTACATACTGGTTTATTGGCATTGATGTTGTTATGAAAAAATATGGTTGTCTGTTCCAAACGGTCTGTAACTGAAAACTGTAGCCAAGAAATTCCTGAGCCAGTACTTGAAAGTAATTCTACATTACCCAACAGGTTTAATCGATCATGATTATGTGACATTAAACAGTACAGGCATTGGAAGTATGGAAACTGAAATTGGCACAAAAGAAACAGGGAGAGAGTGAGAGAAGGAATAAACTGTCCTCAAGCAGGCATCAGCAGACTCTGGCATCTGCTTGTTATAGCAGGCATGTGGCAGGAATGAGGATTAAAGGCCCGTTCGTTCACTCCAAGAACAATAAATAATGGTAACTATATTAGCGGCCACACTAACAGACGATAGCGTTCTGTTTATAATGAGCGTGCGCTGTCTTCTGCCTCTTTAAATACTGAAGCTCTTCAGTAAATTCTATTTGGCTACATTATAGCTATATATAGCTGTGTTTTTGTTGTTCATCAGCTGGAAAAAAGCATTCTGAAAGTGATTCCAATGACATCGTTCCTCTGTGTCATTACTGTTATAGTTGTGGTGTGGAATTCTGTATTCTCATAGAATTAGAATGAATATTAAAACATTACAGTTATTATTATAATCATTGTCATTGGGGTGAATGGGCCTTAAGAAAAGAGGAACGCTGTGACCCATGACTCTCAGTTGCAGAATATGGGCTGGGTGAAGAGCCTGTTCTACCAGGTGAGGGCAGAATGGAGAGAAGAGCATGTGCTTAACCCTAGAAAACACATGCCAAGTCTACTCACTCTTTCAACATTACAAACTAGCACTCGGCAGAGGCACTTCTGGGTTCATAAGAACTCTTTTAGATTAGACCTTCATTTAAATTGAGCTGAAAATGACCAAAACGTGATGTGGGGTTGAAACACCCCATTTCCAGCATTGCTTAGTGGACAAGGACAAATATATTTTTTTTTACAAAGATTATGACTCAGATTCCAGACTGCATTTGCTCTAATAAAACTGATTTCACCTTTTAAAGCAATAAAATAGCAAAAAATATGAGTCCAAATTTATAGAATGATAATTTACCATGGCATGCACTGGCTATTTTGAACAAAAACTTTGCAACAATCATAACGTATGTCTTTGGCAGAACCTTTGTGGTGAAATGTGTATTTAAACAATGAATAAGACACATGCATATGTCTGGGTTATTTTGTACTTGGTACAACTATTGTGTATGCCACAATCCTGAAGCTTTAGAAGTGTTACCATGTCAAGTATTCTACACAACCTGTTATTAAACTACAAATTAAAATTGAGTATAAAATTGAAGTTTTGTTGAACATAACAAATTTGCTGTAAAGTTGCTTTGCAACGATTTGTATCGTGAAAAGCGCTATACAAATAAACCTGAATTGAATTGAATATAAGTTTTTACTTGAAACCAAATGTATCACTTTATAGTAAATGAATGAATGAATGAATGAATAACTGAATAAACGAATACATGAATGAATGAAAAAAGAAATAATTGAACGAATTAATGAGTAAATGAATGAATTAATGAAAAATTAAACAATATAACATTATATAATGCTTCACAGATCATCAGATCTGCAGTACTGTTCAATGTGATCACTAAAAGCTGATTTTAGTGTAATAATTTCATCTACTGTTAATCACACAGTGCACTATATGACAAACCATGAACGATTTCATACGCAGCTACAGTGCTGACTCTAATAAAAACCAGTCCAAAGTGTTCACAGTACCCATCATACCACCCTTTGAAAATACGAACTGAAGATGTGGTACGGACACCATAATTACTGTCTGAGCAGCCGTTATCATGACAGAATCATCTGAGTATGACCTGCACTAACACATTTAATGAGATCTAAGGATCTGAGTGAGGTCAGACGTGTGAATGTGTGTGGTACTCACAAGGAATGGTGCGCAGGTACAGATTATCTCTGATCACCTGCTGGAGCTTGTGGTCCAAAGAGCCTTTCTGGAACTGCAGGCTGAGGTAATGGCGCAGATCCGTGTTCAACACTTTACCTGCAGAGACACATTGAATCTGGGTAAACTTTGGGTAGTTTGAATACAAAAACAGCATTTGCGAACCATTTTACATCCATATTGTACAATATTACAATACTGTACACAAAGAATACAATGAAACAGGATATTTATCATTCCAAAAAATGTAGGTTTGAACTTGTGTCATCCATCATGTCTCGATTTTATTGATCTGATTGGATCAAGCAAAAGTGCTCTTTATATGACAAATTACAGCAGAGGGCAGCTTTGGTGACATCAGCTGAAAATGAAACTTGTAACTCAAAATTTACATTCTGATGAAAGATGCTATTTCTAATGCTATTTCATGCATTCTGACTTTACATTTGCATTTAGTCATTTAGCAGATGCTTTTATCCAAAGCAACTTACAAATGAGGACAATAAAAGCAGTCAAAACTAACAAAGAGCAACAATATATAACTGCAAATGATAAGTCTCGGTTAGCCTAACTCAGTACACATAGCAAGGTATATATATATATATATATATATATATTATACACACGCACATATACACTGTTAAAGAGTTGGATTCTCATGCTAAACATGGAAAAAGTTTTCATAAACGAGTTGGACACATGACAGAGTGTTTCAAGTTCTGGAAAGGTTTTATTATTTTCGAGTATGGCCCTGTATGATGCCATAAAGGGAGGAATTCCTTGTATGGGCACTTCTCCAGAGCGTGAGCAAGAGCAGCCCATCAACATGCTTCATTCATGTTACAGAAATCGTCGGCAGTGCTGCACAGACTTGCTCGTGAAGGATTTGTCATTTTGTTTTTAGACCACGAAATCAACAGTCACCAAAGAAGTGTGTTTTTGGTTGTGAGGGAAAGATAACCTTGTTCAGCTTCCCAAAGAAACCAGCATTAAGGGAACAGTGGATGCAGTTTGTTTCTCCGGGGCTGCAACAGAGTTGTGCAAGTGTGTTCGTTTGTTCCCGGCATTTCAGTGACAAAAGTTTTATAAACAGATTAGATCAAATTTTATTCAATAAAGTTTTTGCTCCTGTTTTATTCATGTCGATGTCACAGCTTGCAGATGATTGCTATGCAAAAGCTTTGCGTGCTCGTGACTCTTTAGCTCCGCCCACGGCATGCCTCCAGTTTCATGAGCACCAAATCAGCATATCAGAATGATTTCTGAAGGGTCACGTGAAATTGAAGTCTGGAGTAATGGCTACTTAAATTTCCGCTTTACCATCACAGCAATAAATTACATTTTAAAATATATTCAAATGGAAAAAAAAGCTATTTTAAATTGTACTAATATTTAACTACATTACTGTTTTTTTACTGTATTAATCAAATAAATGCAGCCTTAGTGAGCATAAGACACTTCTTTCGAAACCATTAAAAAAACTTAATTATTATAAACTTTTGATTGGAAACACAATCATTCGTGTATTTATTTTACCAATGAAAAATGGCTCTTGATAAGAAGAGCATTATTTGATTGAAAGTTCTGCAAACTGTCATTACAGAAACTTGTACAATGATATACGTGTAGAATGATGTAAGACTTCTATTTTTATACAAAAATTTGATAATCTATGAGTTCCGCTCATTAGCAACAGCTGTGATGGTGACAAACAAAACGCAAACAAACAAAAGTGAAACGCTGTCAGTTGCAAATGAGGTGAATATGACTAGATCATGCTAAACTCTGGAAACCGTCCCAGTCTTCCGGATTAAATGACAACCTTGAGATGTGCTGTTTCCAGTGCTACAAAAAATATTTACTGGCTTCCCTCCATGAGCATCCAGATGTGTGAATGCATGATGAGCGTTAACAAAACAATGCAGGTTCTATTGTTTTGCTCTTGCAGCAAAATTGCCAGGAGTTCAGGCGGAGTTCAAGGAAGTGAGGGGGCGGTGCATGTCATCCAGGAGGGGAGGAGAAGACCCTCCAAATTAGAGAATGAAATAGTCCGAGCCAAGTTTCCCCTGGCGAATTAAATATGGGAGGGAGGGGAAGAAAGCAATGCCTCTTTGAGCAGCTCCAGTCTCCAGCTGTTGGTATCACGCAGCTGATGATCTCTGGCTGAGGAGGATGTGCTTTGAAACTGTGCCAGTCACAAAGCTGCTGCATCAATAAGCATTGTTTTGGACCTCGCAGCTGCTGAACCTGCTGGCTGTCCTCACAGACCTGTGTGATCATGGATCCCGACACACTCTGGCATATACTTACATGTAAAAGAGCCGCTCAAGCTACTTCAAAAAGGGGTCAAGCTACACCTTTGCAATGTCCTCACATCTGGAATCAGTATGTGCTGTTAATGTGCAGTCTAAAAGTTTGCAGGGCTCAACAATGATAATTCTTTCCCCCTCAGTTCAACATTTTTCACTGGTCCCCACTACAATGGAATGATTTTTTTCTAGTAATCTATTTTTGCATTTGATAGATTTTGTTTGTTTGTGCATTAACATTGTTTTTTCTTTACAAAATATTCAAGAAGCTGGAGATCATATCATATCATATCAGTGAATGTGTAATTTTAATTGGCAGTGCAGCAGTTTTTAGCAATATATTTTTATATTTGCAATTTTTTTTTTTACAAAAATAAAATATGCAACCAGTTGGAGATATATAATATAATATAATATAATATAATATAATATAAAACCAAATGTTACAAGGAAAAAAAATAGATCAATGAATGTAAAATATGAATTGGCAGTGCAGCAGTTTTCAGCAATGCATTTTTATATCTGCTAAAAAAAATAGTATATTGTTTGTTTTAGTTCAAATTATTTTGTCCTACAAAAATAAAATATGGGAGATATAATATAATATAATATAATATAATAAAATATAATATAATATAATATAATAAGCATAGCATAGCATAATATAACATAGAAAACCAAACATTTATTTTTGCAAAGTTTATTTTTGCATTGGAACAACAGGGCATGAAATTCAGATCTCAGACTGTCCCCGGGTCATTGTTAAGTAAACAGAAAGTGTTCAGATCTTGAAAAGGAATAATAAATACTCAGAGTTATTCTTCTAATTATTTTATGCTTTGTTGCCATTAAACCAAATATTAAGTCATTAGGAATGAACATGAACTTTACATGAACTGTAAATTCAATGTTTCAGTCAAACTGAAAAGACGAATACTTGATGTGGCCTTCAGAGAAACGCCATTTGTGCCTCAAGACAGAATAGATACAAAACATGTTGTGCTATCTCTGACTAATTTCGAATGCAAGGTAATCAAAACAAGTCTCTCCCCTAGCAATTCTCTCTCACAGGGAATGAAATGGATGGCCCACTGTGATTGCAGATTAGCCTCATTTCATTGGTGGACTTCGACTCATAGTAATTTGCTCCAATCTAAATGTGCTCAAGAAGAGGCCCATCATTCTCATTTAGAGTTCTAGTATTAATTCCTCCTCTATGGCTGTTTAGAAAGACATTACAGTGTGTCTGACTTTTTCATTCTGCACTCACTTTACACAGTGCTTATTTCCAATAGTGTAAAACATGATTTATTGCTGTCTTGGTCCAGCACGAGTGCATATTGAGCTGCAGTATGAAGTGCTGAACTATGCTGAATGAGGCCAGTTGGGACCGCTAGGGAGGCTCTGTGAGTCATACTGTGAGACCTCAAAGGAGAGGCAGGACAAGTGGAGAGAAGCCCCCCAGACTCCTCTTACACTGACATCACCGGCTCCAGCCACCAACACCTGGAAATAATCAGCAGCTTGAGAGCATGAAACGCACTGGGAATGTGGTCAGTATCACACAAGAGGTTGTAAATCAGACAAGGAGGTGAAGCAAATGAATCATAGTAATAAACTGTGTTTTAGAATGCTTGATCAAAATGTTGATTCTGACCAAATTATTTTCAGTCTTTTTGACTCTATGGCCCCACTTTGTCCAGCTATTATGTAATTCTGTTGCAATAAAAACAAACCCCAAAATATGATTTCAGTTTATTGTTGTACATTTTTATTTTAGTGTGTTTTATAGCATTTTAATTGGGATTATGTTATATATTACTGCCACATACTTATAACATTATTTTGAGATATTTGTGATATTTACTCACACATTTTTGTTCAAATTAGGATATCAAATACAGGTCGACTATATTTACATATCTTGACTCACCCTCAAGTTGTCCCAAACCTATATAAGTTTGAGCACAAAAGAAGATATTTTGATGAATGTTGGTAACTACACAGTTGACGGTAGCCATTGACTTCCATAGTATTTTTTCCCATACTACTTGAGGGTGAGTAAATGATGACAGAATGTTTTATATTTGGGTGACCCATTCTTTTAACTTTTTAACATGCAGTAACAGAGATCTGTGAGGGTTATTTTGAATGTGGCATTATATAACGTATAAATTGCATTCACTCATAAATAAAAACTGCCAAACAAGGGCTTTTTATGTAGGGAAGGCTTTCAAAGCTAGTAATGGTTTTCAAATTAAAGGGTTAGTTCACCCAGAAATGACAATTCTGTCATTAATTACTCACCCTCATGTTGTTTCAAACCCGTAAGACCTTCGTTCATCTTCAGGTTCAACCGTAATTTTACAAAGCTACGAGAATATTTTTTGTGCGCAAAAGAAAAAAAAAAAAAAACTTTATTCAACAATTCGTCTCCTCCGCATCACCCTGGTGCCATTTTGGAGAATATCCGCTGGACGTAAACAACTTATGCTGTTCTGTGTCAGCTGCGTCACACGGATACGCTGTTTCCGTTCAGATCAATCACAACAACTTAGGAAAGTGTTAATTTCGTTAACGAAGACTATGACGAAAAATGTTCGTTGACGAGCTTTTTTCCCATGACTAAGACGAGACGAAGACGAGACGACAATAAGGTCAATAAACGATAACTAAGACTATATCAACATGCAATTTCGTTGACGAAATAAGACGAGACTAAAATGTATTCAAAAAGATAAAAACTTTACCAAAAACCTCTTTTTATTTTCGTCAAAAAAAGAAGACAAA